AAATACAAGAAATCAACACTTTTCTAATTATCACATATTACGTGAACTGTTTAACTTGGAAAAATAGTTAAAACTGCCGTTAGTACAATTTTTTACATTGAATCTAATAAACTAGCACTCGTTGTCATAGTCAACTTGATTTACGAGATAAAAAATAAAGTTATGTTTTTTTAAATTGTAATCATTAATACAGTGTGTGCGTTTTAAACTGGTTATTTTTTTTCTGAATTTAACGATTTTATTGTTAAACGTCAAACTGAGATTGACAAACTTCGTAGAAGATTTTTTCAATCTCAGTTGGAAAATATGAAAAAGAAATCCAAAGGAAGAAGATACACTCTAGAAGATAAAGTGTTGGCGTTAGCATTGTATAAACAAAGTGCTGCACGTTATAGGGGCATGGCAAAAATGTTTTCTTTTCCTTCGCAAAAAACACTCACCAAATTATTGAATAGGATACCAATACAGCCTGGACTTCGTAATAATAATAAAGCGGTATTTTCAGTTTTAAAAAGTGAAGTAAAAATTTTCAGAAATCAGTTGGACAAGTACTGCATACTTATGTTTGACGAAATTAGTATTCAAGCCCATTTGAAACCAAATTATGCTTCAGGAAGTGTAGATGGGTTTGAAGATTTTGGCTTCAAAAAAATTGGAAAAATTGCAAATCATGTACAGGTAATTACTTACATATTTTTATAATACAAAATCAATACACTATATCATTTTATCTGATTATTTAATTTGTTTAACCTCGGGTAAATAAAGAAAACACTGCACTATACAAAACATTGTAGGTTTTCTTCCCGCTAAACATGAAACATGACAGAAACGTTTCAAATGTGCAGTTATATTGCACATATCACAAAATATATATATCACAAAAATGTGACATATCACAAAAGCGTTTTAGAAATGTTTCAGAAATGTCTTTAGTGGATATCAGTCTTTATCCATGGTGCATACGAGATTCTTGGTTCTACCCCGTGGCGTCGAGCATTTCTTTTATTTCGTATAACACAACTTGACTATGACATACATTTGTTTGGATGTGAAAGCGGGATGAAGAATAGATAAGGACAAGGGCTGAAGCGCACATGTTCCGTTGAATGATATTCACTTCGCTTGTTCCTAGTAATTTGGATGCGAATCTGCTAGGTCAGCCATCAATTATGACCGAATGATTGTTGTTCCTTTATGTATGCAAGGGCTGAGGAATGCATTATAGTATTCTAGAACAAAACCATTTAAATTATTGGTCGACTGATTTTTTATATTCTTAATCTGATTTTGTAACAATTTTTGCCTTCTACAAAAAAACTTCCCTAGTTTTCTTTTGCAGATATTATGGGAATACTGAGCAACTATAATCTGTTATTCTGAGGAATACTTATTACTGCTTACTATTAATCTTATCCCTTAATTAAAAATTAGCTATTTAATACTTTAGTCATTCATGTTTGATATAATCAAAAACTTTAAAATTTTCGAGACCATGTAAGTATGAAAATGCGCCTATACAAATTCTGAATTGATCTCAAGCCGGGCTCCAGCACAGATGTTCCATTGAAGGAGATTTATGGCTATTGTTGCTTGTAATATGGTTTCAAAGCTCCACTTTGCACATTTTTTGGTTGCTGGATATGAAGTTCAATAGGTGGAAGGGAGATTTAATGATGAGGTCTCACGAAAGTAAAAATCAACCGAACCAGTATTCATTTATGATGATCTGAACAAGGTGCTCATGATTTGAGAGTGCTTTATTTAATTTTTCATTGACATTTATTACACCACTTGTTAATATACAGAAGTACTTAACTGATTTATCAAAATGAGTGATAATACATCATTGGTAAGTACCTATACTTTTTAATTGTAGAAACTTTAAAATAGGGCCATATAATTAAATAACATGTAACTTAGACCACGTAGATCATGTTATGCTGGTATAATTTCGAGTTGTTCAGTTGTGTTCTAAGAGATACATTTTTATTTGAGGGCAGTAAATTGGGCCGAGAAAGAAAAAAAAATGGTGTGCGTCACGGGATGCTCGACAAAAGTGATAACTTCATATATTTATAGAAACCATAAAATATTGAACTTGTTTAACGCATGATGGCAATAATAATTTTATTTTCAAATTTTAATATTCTTGTTAGTCTAATGATTTGAAAATGGATCAGGAATAGGTAAAATTTAATGTAATTTCCATTTCAATGTAAAATATCTTTTTTATTTGCAACATTTAGCATTCTTTAACGAGATGTTGGGAGATCTTGGTTTTGTGAAAACTCTTCTTCGTCGTAATTTCTTATTTGCTTGGTATAAACTTTCACGTTCAGTTGATGAAATCTACTTTGAGTTGATCTATTACTGAATACTCCTTTTTTAGCACGAAATCGTTTTTGGCGTTCAGCATTACTTAATACTTTTCGCATTGTAGCGTGTTTTTGTGACTGCTCTTGTGCATGTTGTTCATGAACGTCTGCTACAACTTGTATCTGAACAGGACTAAAAAATCAATGAATTTTGATGATTGGCAGACGTTCTATCTGTTTAAAATAGACGGTAAAACGAGGAAGAGCTATAGAGACAGGATACACTTGACACACTATATGTATACAAAATGTAAGCCATCTCGCGTATGTTCAAAAAAAAAAATCTAACTGAACTAATCTAAGGCTAAAAAAATTAAACTAAATTGAGAAGATTTAATCATAAAGGAATTAAAGGGTATATGAAGGGAAATAATCCATTTTGATGCGTGGTAAACACAGTTAATCATTGGAAATAAGCCCTAATAAATTCGTTTTACATATTTTGCAACTATAAGTTGAAGAGATTCATATTGTCTTAAAATCAAGAATGCATTGCGTGATGGAAAATAAGAAGACGGAACCCATGTTTTCTGAAATAACAGAGGTAAACTGAAATATTTTTCCAATTAAATTCAAGACATTTGTTATATATTATTACAAAACAGTAATAATGTTTATCATTTTATGTTAAATATGAAAGATTACAAAATAGATATCTAAATATTGATAATTTGTTGTTACAAAATAAAATAACAAATAATAGAACATGTTATTGCATTAAAAGTTAATAATAGTTGTGACACTTTATTTGCACTTAATCTTGACTGTTTTTCATAAATTGACCCTGCCTAAATCACTAAACAAGTAGGTAGTAACATTTTACCAGTTCGGAACTTTGAATAGTGCAATGTAATGCAAATAGACATCATCTGGGCAGCATCTGGACTACAGACGGAGAGTAAGACATAGAGAATCGGTACCGGGATTCTATCGATACGATTTAATTTAATCTTTTCTTGATACGAATTTGCGTCCACAATCAATCAGGCGATTTAAAATAGGTCCAACAGTTTTTCAAAAACTTTATTGTAGTG